GTGGTTTTGTCTTATTTATCGGAGGGTGTTCGAGAGTATGATTGTCTAGTTTCAACCACAGAGTTGTTATTGGAGCACTTTAGTGCACTGCCTGAGTAAGGCTACAATTTTGTCACGGAATCCCTGACTTCCAAAGACCTCTGTGACTTCAGCCCGCAGCAGCTGCGAGCTGCGGGGTAGGTGGCAAGGCGCTGGGGCTCCCAGCCTCCAGCAGCAGCGAGGGTACCCAGCAGCTCTCCACTGCCGCGGGGAGGGGCGGGGGGTGAGGGTCAGGTGTACCCCACAGTCCCCAGCTGCCATGGGAAGCAAGGGGCCCCCACAATTCCCCACTGCCATGGGGGACAGGGGGATCCCAGCTGGGGATCCTTGCAACCCCCAGCTGCCGCAGGCAGCAGGGGACCCCAGCAGCTCCCTGCCACCACTGGGGGCAGGGGTACCCCCACAACTCTGAGCCCTCATGGGTGGTGGGGGCCCCTAGGGCTCCTAGCCGGCCCCTGCAGCTACCCAATGGCTTCCCATTTTGTCATGGTTATTTTTAGTAAAAATCAGGGATCATGGCTTCCGTGAATTTTTCTTTATTGCCCATGACCTGTCCCTGATTTTTACTAAAAATATCCGTGACAAAATCTTAGCCTTATGCATGAGGTATGCAGTACCCGTGGACTTTGAAAGGTGTGTTGTGGGGGAGGGGGGGGGAAAGAGTATAGCAGTGGAGATTTATCTGCAGGTTTTGCATCTGTTGTTATGGCAGGCAGAAGCGGATTATGATTTACTGGGACCCTGGGCACAAAGAACATTTGGGCCTCATACTCCTGGAGTGGCCCAGGCTCCCTCGGCAATTCCTACCACTGCCTGGCTCTGGCTTCTGGTCTGACCAGGAGGTGGGGCCTCAGGGGGAAGAGGAGAAGCAGGGGGCAGTGCCACCATTCTGGTGCCAGTTGCCCCCCTACTTCTACCCAGGCTCCTGTGGGGGGCCCCCAAAATGGCTAGGGCTCCTAGGTGTGGGCTCGTGTGTTAATCCGCCACTGATGGCAGGATCGGATGCTGTTTTGAGTTGGTGGGTCCTTGTCTGCAGGAAGCTTTCTTCTGAAGATGAGCTTCGAAGGCCAGAAGAGGAGGTTCAAGCAATATTTCTTTCAGGATGTGGTCTCCACCAAGTATGGGTTTTAGTTGTTTAATAAGACCCAGTATGGGTTCCATTGCAGGGTGGTAGGTGACAATTAGGAGTGTGTGGCTGGAGGGTTTTTTCTGTATTCAAGCAGGTTTTCTCATATTATACTATATAAGAGCATCCCTAGTAGGGGGTGGTACTGCTTTCGTGATACTGGTACAGTTAAAATGGAACAACTTTCTCATGTACACAAGGCCTAACCCAAAAAACTAGTAAGAGTAATCTCCAAGCAACTTTTTAGGCCACAATCAAGCTGTGTGATCCAAGTGGACAGAATCTTGCCCCAGCACAGAACTGCACTGAAGTCAATGAGAAGTAGGTGGCGGCAGGGGATACACATTACAGATCTGATTACAGGCCAGGGGTTTAGATTGCAACTTTGAAAAATAAAGTTAAACGCCTATTGGCTTATTAGTTCTGAGAGGGGGACCTTTTTTCAGAGGGCCAAAGCCCATTCCTGAATAAAACATTTCTGACATTGATGGACACTTAATATTATGAAGTGTTTTAAATTATGCTCCTTGTTTATTAGAACTTCTCAGGAGACAACAAAGATGGTTTGGAGGAGACAAATGTTAAAATAAATGAAGACTTAGAAGATGGATTCAATATTAGTAACTGTAAAGCACTAATTCAAACCAAGGTAAGAGTTGTTCTGAGGCAAGTACATTAGAGAGATACGGGTCTCATTTTTTACATGTCCCTGGGTGCTGTACAGACAGTTGTCAGGATTTCCCCTCCCCTGCTGGTGTTTTAACATACTTTCTAGTGGGACCTGGCAGTTCTTCAGCCAAATTTTGCTTTTTCAAATGCTCCTTGGAATTTGTGCTCTAAGTACTGTGTATGCACCAAGTGCAAAGTGATGCAAGATCGGGAGAGTTAGAACTTCAGGTCATGTGTTATTTAAGGAACTTGAGTTGCATGATTAGTATGGGCTCTATGCTAAGATAGTAGCAAACACGGAAGATTGATTGATGACACTTTGATGACTGAGGAGGTCCAGTCACCATATAACAGGATTAATGTGATGAAGGCATGAATAAAAAGATAGCAACACGGACTCGACTCGCTCTTACAGAACAGTGAGGGAGGAAGGGAAGAAGAATGGAGGAGGCAGTTGGACACAACTGGTATTTCAGGTATTCAGAGTGAATCAGAGGTTAGGCTTATTCAGCAGAGGGAAAGAATAGAGGCGGTGAGAAATAAACAAAAACTACTCTCAACAAAAGACTCAATAGCAAACTGTTTGAACTAAAGCGAAATGGAACTACCATCAGAGTTTGAGGTTTCAGGAGCAAAGGATATTACTAGGATTTAGCCCATTTGTGTTAGTATGCGGAGAGAGACGTCACTGGAAATACTTCAAGTGTTAAAGCTAGTTTAATCAGGTAATTACTTACCAATTGAAAATAACATTTTCTGGTGTCTGTACTTTGCCCTTAAATTTAGTCTCTATTTCACGTCAGCATTTCTACGTGCTAGGGGGCAGTTGTTAGTGAGCCTTGCAAATTCCATCAGTTTTCTGCTAAAGGAATTTAGTTCATTTTGAAGGAAAACTTCACATTTAGAAATAAATGTTGCAAAACTGCATTCTTGTTCGTTACTCTAAAAGAAAAGGCCTTTTTTTTTTTATATAAGCCGTGGTAAGGTTTAGATGAGCATGTCAAACAAAAGTTCCCTTTCTCTTGAGCAGAAAATAAACTGCCTTGTTGCTGTGGTAATGCAAAGTACACACACACACTCTCTCTCTCTCTCTAGTTTTTAGTCCACTTCAAGCTGAATATTGAACTGTGCTCAGTTTTGGACACCTCAGTACCTAAAAGATATAAACAGGAGGGAGTTTAGAGAAGAGAAACAGGTGGGACAGAGAGACTGGAAGGATTGATTAATGAAAGTATAAACTGCAGATATTTTGTTATTTGGTAATGGTGGGGAGATCTTTGCTGGCAACACACCTTTAACATGTGTAAGAGGCAGGTTTTTTTGTTGGGAGGAGTGAATCAAGAGGCAAAAATCAACGTGAGGGGATGAAATTAAAGAGGAAAATGTAGGCTGAACAGGAAAATCTTATTTAACAAGATCTAATGGACTTTGGAATAGCTTCTCAGGAGAAACAGGAAGTCCCAGAGCTAGATATTGCAATCTAGAATACATGTTAGGCAGGGTCTTGTAGTGAACAATCCTGTACTTACTTAGGGATGGGCTAGATGTACTAATAAGCTCTTTTCCATTTATGTTCCAGATTGTAAACATTTCAATTTGGTAACCCTATTTTTGTCAGTAAGACTAATAATTTCTCAATCTGTTTGAAAATGTAAACTGTTTTAATTCCTTAACTAGTTAAATGCAGAAAAACTCTTAAACTTTTTTTTCTCATTTGACTCAGCTGTCTGTGTCACCAGATTCCAGACGTGGTCATTTCTTTAGTTATAACCTGTTTTTGAAGAGGACACCATCAAATGGAAATATGCAATTTAAAACAGTCCCAGGAAAGAAGAGGATTTTCAGTACACACAGTCTAAAAATGAAAATTTTCAATAGTGATGTTTGCTAAAGCAAAAGTACCTATCTTTCCTTCGTTTTGTTACTGGGTTGTTACCGAAGTCTAGAGATGTTTTTGTGAAGAAAAAAGAAAAAAAATCTTATATAATAGCTGTATGTCACACCTAAAGCAATTCTCTTACTAAAAGGTACTTATTCTATTTAGTTTTAGATTCTAGTTTTGTCCTAGTAAATTTTGGTGGCAGTCATGGTAAATGATGAAGTCATATCTTGTATGGTAATCCAGCTAGAATCAAGTGTTACTTTTAAAGGCATTTGGTCGTCGCTCTGTGACTTTTTAACAACTGTTCCCTTTTGGGTCTAAATGGATCTTTTTAATTCAAACTCCCTCCTCTCCCCAAAAATCTGAACACATCTTCGGTGTGTTGTAAGGTGTGCCTTGGTGTTACCATTTCTTTTCCTTGACTTGCTTTGTTTTGGACCATCCTTGGGTCTGGTACTGTGTGCTGCTGATCCCTTACGCTGAGGAGCCCCTCTCCCCCACACACACTATGACTTTCACATCATTTTCTGTTTATAACCATGGCTCTGTACAGTTTTACCTCCGTTGCTGAATGGCAGTTTTACTGAGTGGCGTTCTAACACAGTTTAACCAGCTAGCCTGGATGAAGGCAGTGTTATAATCAGGTTCAGAAACTGTTCTAGGATCAGTCTCTGCTTGTAATAGAATGTCTTTGGAATGTGTTTGTAACACGACTTTAGAAACGTTCAGCCCTCAACCATTTTAAACTGTGCATAGTCATCATGGTTGTAAAACTGTTAAAGCTAGTTGTGCAGTCAAGCCCTTATACTGTGCAGTACTGTAGGCTGCTATTTTAAGACTTGAAATTTCGTACTAATGACTAACTAGTTTGCCCACTGTCCTGCATGTACAAGTCCCATAGTACCAAGTCAGGTACACTTCATATTTAATATCAGCCACAGAAGCTATGGCTCGCTCATGACAAACATTCATCTTCACTTGGTGTATAAGTTACGTTACTCATTAGCAAGAACTTTATATGCAAGTTATATCAATATTTTTGTTATTTTGTCCCTTATGAATGTGAAAACTTTGTATGATTGTTTTTATTCTAACAAGCCAGATAAGCCTCTGACTTTATGTAGATAACTTTACTGCATTATAACAAGAGGTTTTGTACATGTTAAAGTATACTGTATATAGTTGAATTGTAAAGGCATGTGACAGAGAAACTGGATAATCTGAAATTAAATGTTTTAAATGTTAATTTAAATACTAAAATAATTCATTCTTTTTGTGTTAGGACCTGTATTTAAATGAGATTCTCACTAAGGCCTTGCCAAGACTTATGCACATGCCTAACTTTAAGGACATGCGTAGTCTATGCATAGGTATTGGCAGAATCCAGGCTTAAATCTGTGTAAACTCCATTCAGCAGTAAAATCAGAGCTGAGTTATACATTTACTAGCAGTAGTAACTTTCAGGATACCTCAGTGCTATTAATTTAGGGAAAAGTGTTTGCATAATACCTACTCAGTTAATGGCAACAGTTTAGCTTAACCATTTGTCTTTTATTTGAATAGGTGCCATTTAAAATGGCCCAGGAATCTAGGGCTCTGATCCTGTAATGATTTCTGCGTGGCTAGACCCAAAGCTCTATGTGGGTGTAGGATCAGGGCCAAAGGTCTTATAACTTTAAGAAACACTGAGCTTCTTAGCTTCAGAAACCTTCTTATAGTAAAAAGTTGGCAAGAGCTAACAAGTCTGCACTGATTTTTGTAATGTTGTATTTAATAAAATGTTCCAGATACAGGTTTCTGCTGTATGTATTTTTTCATCTCTTTGGAAATGGAAATGCAATCATTGCATTAAAGTGCTGATTCAATAAGGTGCTTAAATACCCATGTGCAACTTTACCTATTGTCTTCACATCCTCAAGAACCTTGCCATATTGGGGTCAACATCTATAGGATATTGGTTTTGCTAGTCTAACCAGTTTTAGTTTAAAACATACTAGACACCATTTCAAGATTAGCTTGTAAAAATCTCTGTCCAAGGAAATGAGGGTGTGCAAAGCTTATTTAAGCTACCTAATGTCTTTCCCCACCCCAAAAATAGCTTTTATAGCACCTCTCATCAAGAGCATCACTCTTTACAAGCATCATCAAATAACTCAATCTGAAGAGATTCCTAAGTAGATTCACATCCTATACTTGCCTAAGTTCCTATGCCAATTTTGTGGTTTTACCCCATTTTGCTCTCCCCTCTTGCCATATGAAAAAAACAGGAGAAACTGAACACATACACACAATGCACAAAGACTTTGTGACAAAGTAGACTGAGAAAACAAAAACAAAATCTTTCAGTTAATACCTAATAGGTGGGGTTTTTCTTTTATCTATTATTGATAGAAAGCAGAAGTAGGCAGTGTCCCTCTAATACCCTTTAATGTGGTCAAGACTTTCCATCTTACAGATGGGGAAAGCTTTTGCAAAGGTTGGATAACTTGCTTATGGGTACACAGTAAATCAGCTGTGGAGCTGGGTATACAAACCTGAAATCATAACGCCGGTGGCCATTGCTCCAACTACTAGATAATGTGTATAACAGCCTAGGGCATATGATCATGATTCCTTCAAGTGGCCAGCCCCAATCACTACATGAGCATACATATGTGATAGGCATACAGAAGACTTTTCCGTTGACACCTAGATTAGAATTTTTACCTGTAAATGCATCTCTAATGTACGACAAACAGTGAATTTCTGTTGCCGAGAGTGGCAGGAGTATCAGAGCTGTTAAAAATTTCACACCCTGTCTGATGTAATTAAGATGGCCTAACCCCCAGTGTAGACACCACGAGGTTGATGGAAGATTTCTTCTGTCAACCTAACTAGCACCTTTGGAGGGGTGGATTTACTGCAGTGACAGAAGAACCCCTTCATCACTGTAGTAAGTGTCTACGCTACAGCTGCGCCGCTGTAGCAGTTTCTCGTGTGTCCCCAAACACCTGCCTCAGAGGACTTGTAGTGCTGCTACTTATTACAATTCCCAGAGGGATCTCCCACAGCCTTCAGGAATAAAAGCAATGCTTACAAGCAGGGACTTAAGAAATAAACATACCAAAAAAAAATTAGTGAAAGGGTCCCGTTCTTTGTTATGGAAGATAGTAGTTGTGACTAAAAGTTTAAACAAAGTTGAAAAGTTGTCAGGCTGGAATTCTACTAGTGACTTCAGCTCACAAATATCAGCCCGGGAAGGGTAAATTCCAGCAAGGTGGTTTAGCCGTGTTGACACACCATTTACACAATGTCTAAAAATCTCTTCAAAGCAGGTAACAACGAGGCGGCATTCTTACATAAGTGTGTACCTGTTCTGAACACATCATCAGGAGCATCTGAAAGAAAAATACCGAGGAAAAGTTTGATAGGGAGAGTGTGGTGGGGGAGAAACTCCTAATGCTAGTCTGCAAGCTTGGGGCTAGGGAGAGATGTGGAGGGTCCATCTTTATCCTACACATCAAGAGCAGGAGTTGGGGAGTGCAGTGTCTTGAGGAACATCTGATTTTGGCACTCAGAGCTGGAAGGATGGTCCAGTGATTAGGGAACTGGCCTGGGACTCATGAGACCCGTGTCCAGTTCCTTGTTCTGCCCCAGACTTCCAGTGTGACCCTTGGGCAAGTCACATAGCCTCTTCGTGCCTCTTCCCTACCTCATAGGGCTGTTGTGAGGATAACTACATTAAAGATGGTCAAATGCTCAAATACTACAGTAACGGGAACCAGTTAAAATCCATCGGCTCATATACACGTATTTACACAGTAGAGCTGGGTGGAAGTATGCTGGAAAGATCATACACAGATTTGCATGGAACTTCAGTGAGGCTATTTCTACTCTTTCTGCTCAGCAAGTGGCTAAAGGCCAAGTAGTGAACTCTAATATTCAGAGGACAAGTCCCTTCTGCCAAACAGGACTTCTGAACACAAGTTTAAAATCAGTAAGCTAAAGTAACTACAACTGTTGGCCCCCTTCCTGGGCCCCTCTCATAAGAATCATTTGCAGTAATAAAATTCCTAAGCAGAGTTTCAAGGCTTTTCTAACTGCAAGAGGCACTGTTTGACTGTGAAGGACAAAAGCTAGCTAAAAAAAAAATGTCTTGGTTAAATAAGAGGGCAGGAACTGTTAAAAACACGTCTGGCACTAGCTGGGGAAGGGAAAAGTTGGCCAGAGTATTTGGCTCTTAACCCTGCCCCTGCAGAAACTATGGCAGCAAGAAAGAGGTCCTTGTCTGTGGCTCAGAACCCTGGAGTCTGGAAGACGTAGGGCTCCAAGAACCAGGCCGAAGTGCCATCTTCCCCACTTGTTTCAGCCACATGCCTTAGCTTAAGCTAAGATTAGATGTAATTGGAGACAGGGACTTCTTTCTATGATGCATCTGTGCAGTACCTAGCACACTGGGGCCCCCAACCCGGCTGGGACCTCTGTATTACAAATCACTACAAACCATACCATAGTAACCGCAGCAGAGGACCCTGATAAGGGATGCAGCAACAGTGTGATGATTAGATCTTTATCAAGGAAGGCGAGACTGTAAGAAGAGAGAAGGTGGCTCTAGTTCCATTGATTTAACACCACCAATAGAAACAATTTAGCTGCCTAGGATTATAAACCATAAACTTCTGCAGGCATTGCTAAATAGTCATATTACTGATTGAAAGCCAGTCATTAACTGCATAGTAAAGGCTTGTCTACACAAAGTTGTGCGGCATTAAACTATCCCAGTATAATTAAAATGGTACAACTCCACTAATGGGGACACAGTTACACCAGTAAAAAGGTGTTTATACCAGTATAACTTATTCCCATACAGGAAAGTGGAAAAAGCTACACTGTTATAAGGCACTTTATACCAGTATAACTGTCCACACTAGCGCTATGTCTACACTTGCAGGGTTTTTGCGTTGTCAGTTTCAACAGCGATAGTGACCCGGTGAAAGAAAAGCGCTGGTTTGTGTACTCACTTCCACAGGCATCAGAGTGTGTTTACATTTGCAGCACTTCCATCGCCAGTGAGAGCAGCGCACGGAGGGCAGCTATCCCACAGTGCAGCTCTCTCCATTTTGATTATAGGTCTTGTGGGAAGGGGGGGGGTTGTGATCGCGCGGCATCCTGGGTCCCTGCCCAGCCTCCTCTCCCCAAACACTGCTCAGCTCCAGTCGCTCAGCATTGCTCCAAGCAGGGGATGCTCCGTGGAACAGGTATTGTCACCTGGCCAGATAAGTGAGCGCTTCCCAAGAAAACAGGAAGGGGAGTTTCAAAGTTCCCAGGGCTTTACAGGGGGAGGGGCGGATGTCTGTTTACCTGGTGTCAGAGCAACAGAGCTGTTCGCCAGAGTGGTCACCTAGGCACTGTGGGATATCCCGTGGAGGCTAACAGCTCGGTAAACAGTAAGAATGTGTCTTCACTTGCACATCACCACAGAAGCCTCACCGGTAAGAGCTGTATGCCTCTTGCGGAGGTGGTTTTCTTTTTGTGGTGAAAATTTTGAGTTTCAATGCAAAAGTCATGGGCAGTAGATGCTCCCACAGTTTGTGTGTAAAAAAAGGGACTTTTTCCGCTTTAAATGGCAAGTATAGACGTGTCCTAGGGGTTGTACCAGTTCACACTACGTGAAATAGTTACCCTGGTCCAAACATGGTGTGAACCAGGCCTAAGTCACCAAAGAAAGTCTAGGGGGAAAATGTCGAGGCAGCTTTCATAGGAGAAGCTAAGCACCCTCCATGTCATTCATTTAAGGCACAAATAGCTAAGAGGGAAGTGGAAATGGTCAGGTGGAATAGACAAAGTGGTGTCAGACCTCTTAAGCCCTCCCATCCATTCTCTTTTCAAGAGGCAGCAGGGACAGCAGTTTCTTCTATAGGAAAACCAATGTAACTGCAACAGGAGACAAAAAAGAGGAACCCACTTTAAGACAAAGGAACCATAGTCTGGCTAGGTTAGCATAGGGTTACCATATCTAATAAATAAAAAAGAGGACCCTCCACGGACCCTGGCCCTGCCCATTTCCCCACCCCTAGCCCTGCCCTAACTCCGCCCCTCCTCCCTCCCACTCCCAGCCATGGGGAAAGGGCTGCCCCAGCGCTACCGGCTTCACGGTTTGCCGGGCAGCCCCCAGACTCTGCACCCCCGGCCGGCGCTTCCCCAGCGCAGCTGGAGCCCGGGAGGGGAAGTGCCCGGCCAGCGGCTGGGGTCCGGAGGCATAGCCCATAGCGGGCAGCTCGGCTCTTAAACAGAGCCGAAGAGTGAGGGGAGGAGCAGAGCCGCCATTTTCCCGGACATGTTCGGCTTTTTGGCAATTCCCCCCGGACGGGGGTTTGAGTGCTGAAAAGCCGGACATGTCCGGGAAAATGGCGGCTCTGCTCCTCCCTGACTCTTCGGCTCTGTTTAAGAGCCGGGCTGCCTGAGCGCTACCGGCTTCGGGCAGCCCCCGTGCCTCCGGACCCGGCGCCGCCAGAGCCCGGGAGGGGAAGTGCCCGGCCAGCGGCTGGGGTCCGGAGGCATAGCCCATAGCGGGCAGCTCGGCTCTTAAACAGAGCCGAAGAGTCAGGGAGGAGCAGAGCCGCCGCGGCTGGAGGCTCTGCTCCTCTTCGGCTCTGTTTAAGAGCCGGGCTGCCCGAGCACTACCTGCTTCGGACCCTGCGCCGCCGGAGCCCGGGAGGGGAAGTGCCCGGCCAGCGGCTGGGGTCCGGAGGCATAGCCCATAGCGGGCAGCTCGGCTCTTAAACAGAGCCGAAGAGTGAGGGGAGGAGCAGAGCCGCCATTTTCCCGGACATGTTCGGCTTTTTGGCAATTCCCCCCGGACGGGGGTTTGAGTGCTGAAAAGCCGGACATGTCCGGGAAAAAGAGGACGTATGGTAACCCTAGGTTAGCAACGCATAGTTTAGCCAAAGCAGTAGGAAGAGCAGATTTAATGGGAGGAACTGGAGCCATATGCTAGTGACCTTTTGCTGATGTATGAGCATAGGTGCTGGAACTAAGGGCACTGAAGTGCTTTCCATTATACACGGGGTTTAGTTTGGTTCAATGGCTCTCAGTACCTGCACTATAAAAATTGTTCCAGCGCCCCTGCATATGAGTGAAAGACAATGGCACTATTACACCTTTCTTCTTAAAAAGAACAGAAAGCTTGCCCAAAGGAATGGCTGTTGTATGGGTTTGATTCTGCCATGGATGGTGATATTTTTATTAGCTATAAAAGTCAGCCCTCCCATAGAGAGCCCTGCCTCCCCTCAAAGTTTCTATTATCAGCTTGTCCTTCAGCTGCCAGGCTAAACAGAGTGAAAACAACGTATAAGGAAGACCTAGCTATTCTCTGTCTCCAAGGCCAAGGAGAAACAATGGATTGGTGAGAAAGATTTCATCTGTAAAAGCCTAAATAGCAGCTACTGGTTTTACCGGGGCAAGAGAAAACAATGGGTGTTTTTACAGTGAGGTGTATTGTCAGGCAAGTTTGACGGACACACTGGAATTGGACATCATTGTAAATTTGAAGGAACTTCTGGAATTGCTACTTCAAAAGCCTTAGCAAGGAGGGGTGGTGCAGAAGTCTTGCCCTCCAGCCTCCTGGCCCTGCTCTGGCAGTTGTACTCTGTTATGGTATCTCACTCCACGCATGCATGTCTGCCAGCACCACCCAAAAAAAGCTTTTTTAGTTTGGGGTCTCTCAGACAAAGTCACTATCCTTTCCCCCCACTTTTCTGAAGCTCTGGGCGGACCAGTTGACCTGGTGCAGTACTTGCTGACTACTCTAGAGTGATCTGCACTGTTGTTGTACTGCTCTAGAATACAGTCAGGGATGATTAGAGTCTTGCTCAGAGCAAATGAAATCCCCAAAGTGATGTGATTGGCTGTGCACCATTTGAGGCAATGTTGTGTGGCCACATGTTGGGTTATTCTAGGAGGCTGCAACAGCTATCCTAACACTGTGTTCTCCCATAGAAGCAAGGCCTTTGAAAGCTCATCTGAGCAGAAGAACAATCTCCTTCATCTAACAGTCAAGAATGCTGAGTTAAGACAGGCTGATATAGGAGGGAGAAGCAGAAATATCAGTGCGACTGAGGCATATATTTTGGCACAGAGCACTCCCTCATCCCAACACATCAACACCAAACTCCCATGTCACAGGAGACATGCACAGTTACTGCCCAAGGCCAAATGCAACAGCTACAACAGTTTTAGGTAAAACATCATCTGTCTCACTCAAGCATCTCCCTCACTTCCTGTCCAACTTACCCCTGCTTTTGCAGAATATCTGCACAAAGTGGGTCTGAGGAGGTTCACGACTGATACTTGCAGCACTTACAGCACCAGGTTCCCCAGTGTTTCTGAATAGCTAAGCATCATTTGTGGCAAGGCCCAGCACCTCTTCAGTTCACAGCCCAACACCTCCTGCTTCCTTTCACAAATGTTGCTTGGAATACAGCAGGCAGGTGTGATATCATCTACATTGCAGACTGCACTGTCACTGCTTGGCAGCAGGCTCCTCCATCTTGCTTTCAGCCTCACAAATACACATTTCCACCACTGTTCTGCTCCTGCCAAGTCTGTAGTTGAATTCCCAGTGTTGACAGGCTTTTACAGCTCCTGGCCAGGATATGGCAGATGGGGAGAGAAACAGTTTCAAACAGTTTCCTGCCTTAGGTCTAGTCTTCACTAGGAAGTTAGGTCGGAAAAATCCACACCCTTAAGTGACAGTTAAACCGACCTAGCACCCTGGCGTAGACACCACTAGGTTGACAGAATTCTGTCAACTTAGCTACTACCTTTCGGAGAGGTGGAGTACCTACGCCAATGGGAGAATCCCTCCTGTCGGTGTAGGTAGCATCTTCACTGGAGCGACACTGTTGCAGCATTTTAAATGTAGACAAGCCCTTAGTGGGAAGCCTGCACCTCAGCTAACAGGAAACAACCTGTTGATATCCGCTGGGGCTGATTTCTATTTTCTAGTAATCTGGGGCCACCTGAACTCCCTAAACTTAGCTGAGTACGAGATCCAAAGACACCACCACTCGAGCGGACTTTGAGCCAAGACAGGTAGGAGCCAACTGGAAGAAAAAGTTTTCCTAAAATATTTTTCAAAAAAGGCAAACTAAAGTTAGAAGTTATTTTCAGTTTAGAGTTTCCAAAGTCTGGCAAAAAAAAAAAGGGGGGGGGGTTTAAAAGTAGGTAACATATAAATTGTAAATGTATACAAGCATTCCCAAAATCCAAATACAACTTAGGTAGGAAAACAGCGTGGCTAAAATCTAAGCAGCTTCATGCTAGTTCTCTGAAGCTAAGAGTCTGGGAGAGGGTGGGGAGAGCCTCAGATAAATTTCCTGTGAATACTTGCTGTTCATTTCCTTTTGTTTTTTGCTTGTTGCTCCCATTCCTTGGCACTGAGTCATTTGCTCTAGCTGAATCAGTGACTTCCCAGCATCGGACACACAACCTTGCATTAAGATAGATAATGTAGTACCCATTCTGTGAAGGAGAGGGGGAGAGATAAGGAACTGAATTACACAAGTATAGTTTTAGAAGGTGGATTTCAGGAGGTACCGCATATTCTATGCCATTCACAAGTCTTTCATTTTGATTATGACTTTACATTCTACAGAATAATATCAAAACTTCAAAACATTGTTTTGAATTGAAAACACCACACACATTTCTTTCAAAAAAAAAAAATGTCAAAACAGGACATATCAATGTTGTTGAACTCCCTTCCCCTCCCCCTTCACCCTTCACCCTTTTCTCCACCAAAACAGGATTTTGACAAGAGACAAATTTTGCAAAGTGTTTAGATTTAGCCGGAACTGCATTCTGATAGAAAACTGTTCCATCCAAGTTTTTCTGACCACTTCTAATTATTCTAATCTATATAAAATTAAATCAGGATGTCAAAATGATTTTAGAATTTTGCCCTAAAATCTCATCAACATACCCATTCCTGCAAAATATTTTGATTTGGACAAAACTGCGTTTTCCAATAAAAAACTATTCTGTAAAAAAAAAATTTTTCAACCGGCTCTAATTGCCATGTTCTGTGGCCTGTACCATGCAGGGGATTGGGATCATAATGGTTCCTTCTGACCTAAGGGCAGGTCTTCACTACCCGCTGGATCGGCAGGTAGAGATCGATCTATCGGGGATCGATTTATTGCGTCTCGTCTAGACGCAGATACATCAATCCCCGAACGCGCTCCCCGTTGACTCCGGAACTCCAGCTCACGAGAGGCGGAAGCGGAGTCAACGGGGGAGCGGCAGCAGTCGATTCACCGCCATCCTCACGGCCAGATAAGTCGACCTAAGATACGCTGAATTCAGCGACACTATTTGCGTAGCTGAAGTTGCATATCTTAGGTCGACCCCCACCCAGTGTAGAGCAGGGCTAAGTATCTATGAATAAATAAAAGCATAAATAAATTATATTTTATTTCAATAAAGGTATTACTTGATATCTACATGCTTCTGTATATACATTAACTAATAAAAGCCTTAGGAAGAATACATATGCTGTCACACACGTATAAACCTTCGTTTAGACAGATAAGGTGGGTAATATATCTTTTATCTGATCCACTTCTGTTGGTGAGAGAGACAAGCTTTCCAACCACACGCAGCGCTTCTTCAAGTCTGGGAAAGGAACTCTCAGCATCACAGCAAAATGTAATGTGGAACAGATTGTTTAGTATTTAGCACATATTGTAAGAGACCATTCAAGGTATAATGGCCCATTAACACCTCTACAGTTATGGGGGGGGGGGGAGGAGGGGAAGAGGGGGTTAGTTGCAACAATAACAAGCCATAAGTTTAGATGGCCATTATAGCATGGCTCAAACTGTATCAATATTTTTTACCCAACTTTTTTTTTTTAAAAGCACTATTAATATTGTGAATTTCCAAGATAAACCCCCCGCCCCCGATCATAGCCACAATGATTTAATAGCATGGAGGCAGATTAGCCAGTATGCAGGGGGACCTTGCACACTGCAG